AAGTTTGGAAATTATTTCCTATCTTTAGTTGTATTGTTGTTTTTTTTAAATCCAAAATATGAAAAAATGCGTTTTTATTATTAGTTGACACCCAACTTGAGCATGGCAACATTTATAGTGTGATTAGATTCAATTATATTTCCATGTATTTCCTATTAATCAAAATTTTTTTTTCTTTTCAAATCAAAAAAAGTATTAGAATATTGGGTTTAATGTAGTATTAATGAATATATGAAAGCATACATTTGCTATGTATTTTTAATATATGTACATGTTTAAGATATACATTTAACATTATATACTCATATAATAATAGCGTTGAATAAAGCTGTTGATATAGTAGTTTTCAGTGTGAGAAATCAGATAAGTATGGCCATATGTAGGTCTGATGACTGGCTGTCCATCTGCGCTCCTTGGCAAATAGCTTCCTTGGCATATACAACAGTGGCTTCAAGATTCACGTGAAGATATCACCTTTTAAAAAATTGTTTTTAGTGGCCACTAGCATTAGAAATAGTTTTGTTTTGTGAAGCCCTGTGTGTGTGTATGTTTGTTTGTGTGTGTGTGTGTTTATAGGGCATCCGTTCACCTAGAGCTCCTTATGTTGATAGGTCAGATAAACAGGTTATTTTAAACCTCTTTTTTAAAAGTCAGAACCTATGTTGTTGTTGTTGTTGTTGCTTTTTCCCCATGGGGAAAATGGAATGGAGAAGAAGCATATTTATGAAAACAAACACACAAAAAAAGTAACTGCCTGGGCTTTTGAAAACCTGAAGGATGCTCATAATAGCTTTCAGTATCCTAATTCAGTCAGGCAGGGTTGGACCACCTCCATAAAACAGTCTGGGCATATTTCCATGGGACCAGGCAATAAGGCAGAATTTCCGAGGCCAGTAGGTCAATGGCGTTCCCTCCTCCCTCACCTAAAAAGGACAAACATTGCAAGTTGCCTGATTATAAGATATCCAATTTCCTTTTGGGACAGTCCTCCAATATATCCATGCATACATACATAGATACATACATATATGTATGTATATACACACATATATAATAAATAATAATATATTATTCTATGCATAGAATGCAGAGGTCAATTCAGTTAAATTTAGCTTCTATTGGATACCTACTATGAAATAGAAAGGTCTTTCTGGATTTGCCTTTTTTATTATTCCATAGAAAGAATCTGAAGGACAGAAAGTAACATTCCATTAAATTGTCCAAGTGTTGACTTACCCAAAAGACTAATATATGAATATCAAGGTAAAAACTCCTTAGAAGCTAGTTCATTCTGGTCCCCATACCTCAAGGAGAGCTTGGTAAGTCTCTACTTCCTAAGACCTGTTCCAGACCTTTCTGTGACTTTGAATTTCAGTTTAATCTTATCTTCTATTTAATCTACTTTAATGTTTCTGACATTACCCTGCCTGTGTTAACTGCTATTATAATAATTATAGCATAAAATATTGATTATCCTTCCTTGCTTTCTGAAATATTACATACATTTTATGTTTAAATTGTACCAGTAATGCTGATCAATCAACAAACATTTATTAACCACCAGCTGAGTGTCAGGGACTGTGCTAGGTATTGGGCATACAAACATAATTTATCTTTAAAAATATAGCAAGTAGTTCAAGGAAATTTCCTTCTGCAAGATACCAGAGTGTTAGATAACATTACTTTTTCCCCACTCTTCTTTTTCCTTTCTTGATTTATTTTTTGTTGGCCTTAATCATCCACCTCAATTCATTCCCCTAGGGCATAGTCTAAAAAGTGTGACATTCTCTGCAAGAATTCCTCTACAGATCACCTCTTTTTTCTCCCAAACCAATTGGTTGCTGACCACTGCTTATCTACCCCCTTCTTCTTTCCCCAAGTAAATGACAAAATTATGCCCTGGAGGAAGATATGACATTCTCTGAAAAAATGTGAATGAGACTGCTTATATGTTTTTCTCTCTTAGCTCTTCTTTCATATTATCTAGCACCTTGAAGCACAGAAGGTTGTTAAATAAATGTCATATAGTCAGAACTTTCTGACTATTCAGTAATCCAAGATCACAGAGTGAAATTTAATGTCCATCACTAAGGATGATGGCTGATGAACAATACTGTCAATTAAGACACAGCCATGCTAGTGTTAAAGTCCATTTACAAAATATTTAAAAGCAAACCATATACTGATATACTTTATCAGTGTTCTATTTCTTATTCTGTACTTTTTCTTACCCTTGCTTATAAATTGTGCAAAAACTCCTACAGAAGCTCTATGAGATACATCATAATGAAATGCATTTGAAAATGTTTTATGTCATTTAATATAGTTTTCTCTACCCCCAAACACAGAGATTTTGTTTCTATATGTTAAATGATCTCAAAGTAAAGCACTTTATTCTTTGACTATAGTCTGGGAAATTAAACTCTGTCAGAGGGTGCATATAAACTATTTTTAGTATTTCATAAACTCAGTCATATAAGAGAATAAGCACACAAATTGAAATCTGTAAGAAATTAGATCAGGACCAAAAAAACTAGTGTAGGGGATAGTAAATGATAATATTTAAATTATTACTCAAAGTACTGGCACCTGTTTAGATATATCAAACTCATTGTCACTTTGATATGTGAATTGTGAATTTTGAAAATATCTACTACCTTATAAACTATGAATTTAAAGTGCTAGATACAGAACTGATCTCTTAAAACCCAGAAAGAGTAAATACCTCCTTAAAGATATCTCTTCTGAGATCAGTAATGATTTAAGATAGAATAGGAGAAATTACTGATTTTCTGTGTTGCGATTAAGAGAAAATAATAATTTTTGGTTCTTACTTACAAAGCTGAATTATAGCTGGGGATATACTGAGGGGTTAACTTTGAACGTGACAATTTGACATTTGGGAAGTAACTTACTCCCTGATAGGACCTGGCCTCTTATCATTCCTGGTACATTTTTGGAAAGCAAAATATAGTATCCTGAGATAATGTAAATATCAGTTAAAATTATGCATCAATTAAAATTAAGGATCAAATTAAAATTTGCACCATTCTTAGGAGAAATTATACTTATTGACAGTAAAGTTGAATTTATGATGTCTTTCTTGGTCCATACAAGTTATTTTTCCTAATATTGTGTATGTCCATGGCATTTACTCTTCACTGAAGGTTGGTTGTAAGCCACTTGCTTATCTTGTCCTCCTGCTGACCTGGGTTTAAACCAAAAAAAATATGACTTCTCCAGTACTATTGTCTAGAATATTTAAACTAGTAATATTCCAAACACTGTATCTGTACTCCTGGGTACAGTTCCTTAGAAAGACATTACTTCTTTATAAATTAATTTTGAGCACAGATTATGAAGACTCAGAGAGGCAGATCCCTTCTTGTCCAAATAAAGTTCCTGACAAAATCAACTTTCCAACTCTACTTTCAAAATTTTGAGCTGAACGAAAATTCCATGGGAGAATGAGTTTCATTTCCATATATAAATCGATAGGAACAGTGCCCAATTAGTGCCATTTATGATTGTAATTTATGTGTTATGGATAGCAGTTCGTTAGGAAATGAACTGAAACTATCACCTCATTTCACATAGGTCACTGAACAGTAATCAAATGGTACCAGCTTTCAGTCATTACTACTTTGAGCTGCATTTGAACCATTGACCCACGAGAAAGACTGTATCCTATTTCCAATTTAGGGGGAAAAAAGAATCATGGAATTTAAGCATTTATGACCTCAGAATCTTGGCTATAGCTATGTTATTTTTCTTTAAAAAGTAAAAACAAAACCAACAAAATCTATAAAATGCCTTCAGAGAAGATTAAGAATAAAAAGATGAACTATAATTAGAATTATTTTCTATTCTTTTTTTTTTTGAAGATAGGGACAACTGTTCATATTTCTGTCAAAAAGGTGGCCACATGAAAAGCCCATTTGACTGTTATGCAGAGTGAGAATTATAGATGTATTTCCCTAAAGACTGTACCCAAAGTTGACTGCTTATGTGATCCCATCTGGCAGTGGCACCATGGTATAAATTTAGAAGGAAAGTATGGCTTAAACACTTACAGTATGGCTATAAGATTCATATTTCAGTAGTATATTTGGCCAGTAAGTACTACTAGTATGATGATTAAACAGTGAATTACTAGCAATAAAATATTTTAATTATTGGGGACAGGGACTGTTCCTGTTATTTCATTGGTATTGGGAACTGCAAGGTTAAGGAAGTCCATCTACCAAAGCAAGTGGGCATCTTCTCTGTATCTTAAAGAATTACAGAATTGCTTAGAGCATGGAGAAGTCAGGGCCATTATGTTAATTGCTGGGCTTTAACCAACTTCTTCCTCTTGTTTCTTGCTGTAATACTACAATGAATAAAACCTATTTCAATTAATTTAAGAGTAAATACAATGCATTGTTTTATAAAATGACTGATAATTGTATAGAATGAACTGAATATGTACACTGCCCATTGTCTATCCTTAAGTTTTAGTGTTAGAAATGTCCACATCATGATTATCTTAGAAGCATAATGGAATCACATTATGTTATTATTGATCCAGGAAAATTAAAATTGATATTGTCTTAAAAAACCATCAGCCCTGTGGAATGCATTTTCCTATTTCTATTTAATGAAATGTGATCCTCTATATTACAGCCATTCTGGATTGTTTCTTTTCTTATCACATTTTACGAAGTCTTAAAGTAATATTTCATGATCTTAAAATAGTTAATTCTGGTACCGTGCTTATATAATGCATAACAACAGAGCTAAAATTTTATTTTTTTAAAGTTAACATGGAAAAAAAAATGTTACTTCTAATTTCTACTTCAAAGGAGATGTTTATGGTTTGTTCCAATTTCAAAACCAAAAACAAGATTTTGAAAACCTTAGGATGCAATTAAACCTATTTTAAAAAGACAACAAAATCTGTGCAATGTTATTGAACTAAGAAGAGCATTAATCAGTATGTCCTGTGCTCTTCTTTGTAGTCTCAGCGCCGTGTTACGTTTCACCTCCCTGATGGTTCTCAAGAAAGCTGCAGTGACAGTGGTCTAGGAGACCATGAGCCTGTGGGTAGTGGAACCCTGATCTCACACCCTCTTCCTCTGGTTCAGCCACAGGACGAATTCTACGACCAGGCCTCACCGGACAAGAGGACTGAAGCTGATGGAAATTCTGACCCCAATTCTGGTGAGTTAGCCTTTAAAAAATGAATTACGGTATCTTCCTATTGTTTTCTCCCAACAGTGAGTGCTGAATGATTAAAACTATAGAACCTAAGAGTGACTATTCTGTCTTAATACTAAGGTATATTTTGAAGCATACTAAGTCAAGTTAGTCTGGAATTTTAGGTATCATTGTTGACTGATAAAATCTGACGGTCTGCTTGAAATGTGTCTGTTGTTGGTAGAGAATAATTAAGAAAAAAATTTGATAAGTATTATCAAATATCAAATAAGTATTACGTTGTTTTTTTTTTCCTGTAGCATATTCATAGGTACATAGGCGGCATGATCCTCTTTGGTTGTCTAATAGGAGTCAAGACCAACTACTTTACTCTTCAATGGAGACTTTAAGTTCAAATAGTCATCTATACAGATGGATAGGGAGCTAAATATTTTTGCTTTCCATGCCTACTATATCATTATTTGATTTATTTGTTGCCTTAACTATCTCTCTCCATATATATATATATGTATATGTATATGTGTATGTATATATACATACACACATATATATATATATATGAGAGATAGAACAATAGATATAGCTACAAATAAAAATATAGGTATCAATACTTTATAGCCTTTACATAATAACTCCTTCCTCTGAAAGTGTAATGCACATAATTCCATTAGGGCAATCATAGATCTTAAACCCAAGGTTTTGTATGTTATAATTCCCCTTACAGCCAGAATTCATCAAAGTATAGTGTATGTCATCATGAACTTTCCAGAGCAGATGACTATGAGAGCAATTATTGTGTTAACTAATAATATTAGAGATGGCAAATATGCAGTCAGAAATTGGTAGTGTTTTTTTAGGTTATATTACTTATAAGAATGAAGATAGTTACATTTCTTTAGCCATTGAAAGCCAATCAGTCATCTATTTTATAAGTCATCTGAACTAATTAAGGAAGGATTTGAGTGACGAAATACACACTGGTAAAATTATACCATACATTCCTTTAATATGCCAAAGGCTTTTTAAGAGTGAAGATGCATTTTCCACTACCCAAAAGAATGGAAGAATTTGACTGTTCAGTCTGTCGAGAAAGAACATATTGTTAAATGGCTTTTGTAAACAAGTAGAACTTGAGTTTGGGATTCTCAAACATCATTTAACTGGTTTATTGATGAATTTGATTTATAGAATAATAAGCATATGTGCCTTTGAAAACATTAAACTCTAAATTCTTGGAAAATCTATGATGTATACAAGTTATAACAGTGGTTAATAGGGCATAAACACTAATTTCCTATGTGAATTATCATAGATTGGATTATCTATATATTATAATTACTTATATCATGTAAATTCAATTTTTCTCTTCTTTATAGTTTAAAAAGCTAACACAATTTTATTTATTTGTTAATTAATGGGAAAACTTACCTAAAAATAGAAGTATTGCATCCATTAAATTTGCTTTCATGAAATAAAGGAACATTCTGTGAGATGTGAGACAATTGAGCAAAATAGAATAGTGAGAAAAGAGAAGACAACCCAGGATAGAGTCTTAAGGGACACCTATGGTTAATGGGTATGACCTAGAAGAAGATCCAGAAACGGAGAATGAGAAGAGAGAATGAAGAAAAGAAATGAAAGCACTGATTTTAGATGTCCTTCTCAAGGAATTTAACCACAAAAGGAGACTAGATATGCAATTATAGCTAGTGGGGATGGACAGATCAAATGGGAATAAATGGAGACATAGGCTTGCTTGTAGGCAATAGGGAAGTGACCAGTAGACAGAGAGGAATAGAAGATAAATAAGAGAGTAATGATGATAGATAATAGATTGGAATTATTTGTCCATAAAGAGGGGCTTGCCTTGGCAAGAAGAAGGGTCACTTTACATCAGACAGGAATAAAGGAGGAGATACTAGTGGCATGTGAGGGATGGGAGATGAGGAGGAAGGTATAAGGGGGAACTCTTAGTGAACTATCTCATTTTTTCAGTGAAATAAGAAGCAAGGTTCTCAGTAGAAAGGGTAAGAGAAAGGACCTGAAGGAAGGTTTCCTCAACTGTTAAATGGGGATGATAATAGCACCCACCTTCGGCTGTTTGTATGAGGATCAAATGCTTAACACAGTACCTGGCACATAGAAGATGCTTAATAGAGCCTTTCTTTTCTCTTCCTTCCTTCTTTCCTTCCTCCCATCCTTCCTTCTTTCCATCCTTTCTTCCAGTGCCCCAAGTTAATTTTTTTTTACTTTACAAAAATGATTATTTCTTTTTAACGTTCTTTTCTTTTTTAATTTTGAGTTCCAAATTCTCTCCCTCCCATCCACCCATCCTCCACCCACTGAGAAGTCAAGCAATATGTTATCAATTATACATGTGGAAATCATGCAAAATATATTTCCATTTTAACCATATTAAAAAAGCAATAAAAATAAAGAAAAATGAGAAAATTGCACTTCACTTTTTACTCATAGTTCCTTTCTCTCTTTGGAGGTGGATAGCTTTTTTTCATCGTGAGTTCTATGGAATTGTCTTGGATCATTTATTGACCAGAATAGCCAAGTCTTTCACAGTTGATCGTTATTATAACATTATTGTTATTGTGCACAATGATCTCCTCATTCTTTACTTTGCATCAGTTTATATAGATCTTGCCATGTTTTTCTAAAACTACCTCCCTGCTTATTTATTCTAACACAGTAGTAATTCATCATAATCATATGTCACAACTTGTTCAGCCATTCCCTAATTGATGAGCAACCCCTTAATTTCTAATTTTTTGCCACCACAAAAGGAGCTACTATAAATATAGGGTCGGTCTCCCCCCCCCCTTTCTCTCTTTCTCTATCTCATTGGGTATAGATATAGTAGTGGTATTACTGGGTCAAAGGGTATACACAGCTTTATAGCCCTTGGGCAAAGTTCTGAATCATTCTTTAGAATGGTTGGACCAGTTCATAACTATACCAACACTGCATTAGTGTACCTATTTTCTCCTTTAGCATTTGTCATTTCTGATAGATGTGAGGTGGTACCTCAGAGTTATTTTAATTTGCATTTGTCTAATCAATAGTGATCATGAGCATTTTTATGTGACTATAGATAGCTTTGATTTCTTTTTCAGAAAACTGCCATTCATATTCTTTGACCTTTTATCAATTGGGGGGATGGCTTTTATTTTTAAAAACATGACTGAGTTCTCTATATATTTGAGAAATTCGGCTTTTATTAGAGAAACTTGTAAAAATTTGGATAATACTTCATTGTCTATGGTAGACAATGTACTTTTTAGTATCTTAAGTACTTTTCAGCAAAATGTAGTTTTCCTGATTATCTCTTTTAATTAGGTCTATTTTTGCTTTTGCTTTGTTTTGAGTTCATAACTGCTAACTCCTTAGAGTTGCATGTATCACCTTCCCATTCAGGAATATAAACAGTTTAACTTTATTGAATCCCATACGATTACCCTTTCATGCTTACCTTTTTGTGCTTTTCTTGAGTCTTATGTTGGAATGCCAAATTTTCTATTCAGCTCTGGTCTTTTCATCAGGAATGCTATAAAGTCTTCTATTTCATTAATTATCCATTCCCTTCTGAAGGATTATGCTCAGTTTTCCTGGATAGATTATTCTTGTTTGTAATTCTAGCTCCACCTTCCAGAATATCATTGCAAGCCCTCTGTTCCTTTAAGGTGGAAGTGGCTAAATCTTGTATTATCCTGACTATGGTTCCATGAAATTTGAATTGTTTCTTTCTGACTGATTACAATATTTCCTCTTTGATCTGGGTACTCTAGAATTTGACTGTAATATTCCTGGGGGTATAAATTTTGAGATCTCTTTCAGGAGGTGATTGATGAATTCTTTCAATGTCTATACGGCAGTTATTTTTGATAATTTCTTGAAGCATGTTATCTAGGCTTTTTTTTTTATCATGACTTTTAGGTAGTACAATAGTTTTAAAATTATCTCTTCTTTATCTATTTCCCAGGTCATTTTTTCCTGATGAGATATTTCAAATTTTCTTTTTAATTTTTTAAAATCCTTTTTATTTTGCTTTATTGTTTCTTGATGTCTCATGGAATTATTAGCTCCTACTTTCCTGATTTCTAATTTTTAGCAAATTATTTTCTTCAGTGAGCTTTTGTAGCCCCTTTTCTACTCCCCAGGTTTTCATCCCATGACACTATTGCCAGCTCCTTTTCTTTCTCTTTTTTTCTTTCTCTTTCTCTTACTGCTAAAATTGGGTAATCAAGAAAGGCTTCATGTAGTAGGTGGCATTTGGGCAGTGCTTTGAAGAAATCTAGAGATTCTGAGAGGCAGAAGTGAGAAGGAAGTACATTTTGGGCATATTGGAGAGTGTACAAAAGTGTAGACACATGAGGAATGGTATATGTGAGGAACAAACAAAAAAAAGCTAGTTTGGAGCAAAGAATTTGGGAAGAAGAGTAATGGATAGTAGGTCTAGAAAGGTAAATTGAAGCCAGCTTATAAAGGGCCTTATATGTAAAAGAGGGGAATTTGTTTTTGATTATAGAAGTATAGGGAACCCCTGGAGTTTATTGAGCAGAGTGAAATAATTAGACCTGAACTTTAGGAAAATCACTTTAGCTATTTTGAAGACTAGATTGTAGAGGAAATTATATGATGAAGGTAAACCAATAGAAGACTATTACAATAGACCAAGGTGAAAGAAAGTGTATGGGGGATGGTAGCTGTGTGAATACAGAAACAGGGAAAGATAGGAGTGATATTATTTTTCTTAATTTATTTTTAGTTTTCAACATTCACTTCCACTAGATTTTGAGTTTCAAATTTTCTCCCCATCTCTCCCCTCCCCCACCCAAAGATGGCATGCATTATGAATACCTCTTCCCCGATCTGCCTTTCCTTCTAGCACTCCCCTTATCCTCTTCCCCTTCTATTTTTCTATAGGTCAGGATACACTTCTATCCTCTATATATCTATTTCCCAGTTGCATGTGAAAACAATTTTTAACATTT